GCGATGGGTAGCAGACGACGCGCTCATCGCCGTCTGATTCATACTGCATTAACGCGCAGCCGATTGCAAAGTCACTGGTGTCACAGACTACATGGAATGGTCTGTACTGGTCTGCAATTGCCAACACAGGCGATTGCACCAAGATTTTCTTGATGCCTTCAAAAGAGTGGTGAAACTCAGCACTACGTGACCACCTCTCGTTTTTCTTTAGTAGACGAAAGAGATGTACGGTCATCTCGGCGTAGTTGTGCAAGAAGTTTTGAAAGTACGCCGCCAAGCCAAGGAACTTTCGAAGTCACTTGACGTCGACTGGAATAGCCCATTCTTTCATTGCCTTGATCTTTTCTGGATCAGGGCGTACGCTGTTTTTACCCACGATACAGCCAAGAGGTGGTTTTCGCTCGCTGCGAATATACACTTCTTGAGGTTTGCAAACAACTTACGCTCTCGCATTAATGTAAGAACCTTCCGGACGTGGATTCTATGAACCTTCACTTCCGTCTTTCCATCCATAGCCCGGCTATGGACGAAGAAATCGTCGAATTAACTCGGTGAGAAATCGCACCAATCGCAACAGATTCGTAACACATCTGTTGAACGTTACAGGGGCGTTACTTAATACCGGTGGCATCACTAGCCACTCCCAGAGCATACCACTGGGGGTGCTCACTGCTGTGTACGGGATATCCCGTCCACGCATGAGGATCTGATAGAATCCATCCATCGAATCCATGGACAAGAAAATAGTACTTTTGCCATATGGTTTATGATTGTGTCCTTCCTCGGTGTCGGCGTCTGAGCCGGTACCAGTGCAGAGTTCAATTTACAAAACGCGTGCACTATCCGCCACCCTCCTGCGGCCTTTCGCACACAGAAGTTCAGAGAGCTGCGTGGGGATGTTGATTCCCTCACATGACCAGCTGCTAAACGATCGGCAAAGAATTTGTCGATCGCTGTTACCTGTTCACGAGGCAGTGGCCACTGATTCATGACACAGAATTTCGAACCATGTTTCAGTTCGATATCATGTCGATTGCCTTTGTTCTTGGGCAGCTCGCATGGCACGGATTCCGGGAAAACATCCCTGTATTGGATCAAATTATGATACAAAGGATTTGTCTTCAAAGACTCTCAAGATTGAGACGTGTATCGCTCAATCCGAGTCTTCTCATCGAGGACACTCTCGTCCATCGATGAGCTACTGAGAACCCTTTCGTTCTCAGCAAACACTTGTGCCAACCAAATTTTGGCGACGTACTCGTCCTCTGTGACGCGTAAGCAGATCTGTTTGATCTTGTCACTGCGCAGATCTTGCAAGAATCTTTAGATTCTAGCGTTTGCAACTTGACCACCTCCAAAGCTAACTTTGGAGATGTAACCAGATCAAGTGTATAAGCGCCTACACTTGATCCGTCATTCTCCAAGACATTAACTGACTACGTGATTTCCTGGAAAAACACATCCTCAGGTGGTTGGGGAAACAAACCCTTAACATAGCTCTCTCCGAAGTTATCACTCTCAGGAACACTAAAATTTCTTGCAAGACGTTTACTGACTGTGGGAGCACTATCACAGTCACGTCCTCTTCGATCGACTCTCTTTTGGTCGATCGTGTTTGCTTAACGATCGACTATCTTTTATTCGATCTTGCTTCAAAGTGTTGTTCATCCTGAACAACACTAATCTCTCTTCTCGGACGCACCCTTCTTGGTGTGCATCGGTGTTCCAGTCCTCTCTATCTTTTTGAGTGGTGAACCTTCGGCGCAGCCTGTGTCTCTACACAGGTGCCGGAAGCTAATTCTACAGTTTAGCGGCCTTCTACACTGTAATCTTTGCAGTCGTGCTAACGACCGTACCACAAGTGAGGCCATCGCACTCACTCGTAGTACATCCACACGCTTGTGGACGCTCCAGACGTTCATCAGATGGCCGTCCGATGAACAAACGGCGGCATCTTCACGGATCGATGCTGCCAGCTAACCCATGGCTGGTATTTTCTAAGCCATGGCAGACCGAGTATGACAACAAATTTGTCATCCAAATCTAGTACGATGAAGCATCATCGTACTGCTTTCCTTCTAGCGTGTAGTGGATTCCCACTACATGTCTGTTCACTGTTACGGATACGCCTGTAGCAAGGCACACCGTCATCCTCGTTGGAGGGAACTCTCGCTCAACATAGTTGAGCCTACTATCCCCTAGCGAATGGCGTTGAATAAAACGGTTCGACGTCCCACCGTCAACTAGGGCGCAAAGGGGCATTCCACTTGTCACTTCGATCTTCAAAGTTTTGAGAGACTCCTCATCACTAAGGGCAGTAACACACAGTGACTGTGTGTTGGGATCAATCTTCGTCAAGAGTCTTACAAATTCTCTTGACGTTGCTAAATCAGCAGGGTTTTCCGCCTCTACTAACCCTGTCCGTTTATTGACGGTCCGACTTGCTGTCGCGGCTTAGCGACATGGTCGGACCCACGCCTTGGACCATTCCTTGGCCAACGGTGGTCATCACATCCTGTTTTCGGATGTGTTGCGGTGCTCGGGACACTACACTCATGAGCGTAGTGTCCAATCTTCTGACAGCGATGGCATCTTGCCGTTCGCTTGTGTCTCAGAGAGCGAGAGTTCTCGCTTTCGATGTAACAGGGGTCCATTGGTTCGGGACATTTCGTTTCCTGTCGTCTCGTCGGACGATAGTTTGACGAGTTAGCCTGAGACTGTCTCAGGCTGACCTCTTCTTGTTCCGTATGCGCTATCGCCTTTTCTAGCGTATGGAAGTCCTCTCGGAACATGTAGGTCTCCACCGGTCCATCCACAGGACCGTAGGTGAACACGTTGATGAGCGCGTGCTCATCAACAGGGTTTTCGTAACGCTACTTGCAAGGTAGCGCAGGTGCTGTGCATAAGCGTGCACGTCACGCTTACCTTGCTTTAGTCTCATGAATGCAGAGCGTGCTCTAAACTCGGCTCTTGATGGCTTAAGCGTCTCTTTGAGTCGAGACTTCAAGATCTATAATGACTCAAACACGTTTGAGTCGTGAAGCTTGAGCCCTAAGGCTCAAGTCTTTGCTCTTTTCGTCAGATTTGACAGGGCAAAGGTGACTTGCATCTCGTCACCCTCGATGTGACGGGCCCTGATGGCATCGTCTAACTCGACGAACCATCTCAAAAGTTAATCTTCATCAGTTCCCTTGAACCTTAAGATATCAATCTTCAAGGTTTCGGGTCGACGCATGTGCGTCGGCCCACCCATCGACTGATGAGAGCCTTGCTGGTGTAGAAAGGGTATCAAGTCTTTCGAAGGCAAGTTCCCCTTGTAGGAACTTGTTGATAGCAGTATGTTGCTGGTCTCTGCTTAGAGGCTCCATCATACCACTGATGGCGGGTTCGCCCATGCGCACACTCATGCGGCCGACTACCTCCCATTCTGGGTCACTCAGATGGGAGTAGCCTTCACGTGTGACGTGAAAGCTGTCGTCTTCAACGTCCAACATTTTCACGTTAGACGGACACAAATTAGCCGTTGAACAGTCTACAAAGGGCTACCAGGTGTAACGGGGCACCCTTTGTCTGGGTGGCCACGAAACTTTACGTACACCAGTACGTGCAGAGGAAGCTAATCGACCTGAACGACTCGTTCAAGTAAAGGTAAAAAGAGAACTGTATTATACGTAGTTAAGCTATCAATATAAGTTTACTCTTTATCTAACTACATTAAACTACGTCGTTGTATGACGACAACCTGCTCACCACTCATAGCGCGCGTCTAGCAGCGATTGGTGGCAATCTATGGTTGATATGTCTTATGTCAACCAGTCTTGGAGCAGCGCATGAAAATTATCCAAAAGGGGATAATTCCGTCAATTTAATCTATCTTGGATAATTTTGGAAGGAAACTGTCATGCTAGACAATCTCCCTATTGACACCGTTTGGTGTCAATTTCAAGCAACGGGCTACCCCGTTACACTAAAGGTCGAAATATCAACACAATCAATCTCTATACATGTGCCCTTCACCACCGATCACGTGTTATTATGCTTTGGAACGACAGCTCCAAGCCGATGTATTTAAAGAATGACGCGTTTTAGGCAGGTACCGACTCAAGAGTCATGAGCGGCCCAAAGTCGAGAAGCTCATTCGGAGAATTAACAGCGGGAAGCTATTGCAGCAACAGCGACAGTGACAGCAGTCATCAGTCGAGTGGAGGTGGTGGTACGCGATGTGTGCGAGGCAATCAAACTGGTATGGATGAAAAGCTAAGCGTGGACCAGTCCAGTGTTCGAGGATTATCGCAATCATCCTCGTGTGAATCCGAGGCTTCCTCGAATGAGGCAGAAGTTCTTTTCCCGTTTGTCTTCCAAAGTCGTTTCGTGAACGAGTTTGAAGAGCTGTCAGCAATTGGCAAAGGTGACTTTGGTCAAGTTACACTCGCCGAGAATCGGTTGGATGGACGAAGGTATGCGATCAAACGGGTTGGTCTTAACTTGAAGAACCAGACGTCGAAGACTTTGCAGAAGTTTTTGCGTGAGGTGAAAATCCTAGCGCTGCTGGACCACGCTAACATCGTTCGGTACTATCAGGCATGGATGGAAAAGGTTGGGGAGAGCACAAATGGAACGTCGGTAGCGTCTTCGGTTGCCTCCGACACGAGCTCAGTCGGTGGACTCGCTGCCGCGGCAAATTACTCAACAAATAATCTTCTCGTACCGATCTCAGAGCTTGAGTTTCCAGGCGACCAACGCGACCTCTAGAGCTTCTACAGCGACGGAAGCGTGATCAGTGACAATGCCGATGATGGTGGGTTTGTCTGGGAACGTGAGGCGTCTAGGATGGAAGGTGAGGATGGCTGGAAAGAAGAAGATCTGGTCATGCAAAACAAGCCAAGCATGAGCCACCTGCCTCCCCGTGTGTCTTTGTCTTGCGCACCGGCTGCTCATGGTAGCGACGACGACTCTTCGTGCAACGCGGTCGAAAATGTGATCACTGGCTGCACATTCAGATGCAGTACTGTGCTGGCCGCAATTTGGCGGACTATCTGGCTGTTCCAAGCCGCCCGATGGAGTTGTCGAGAATGCTCAAGATTTTTGTGCAGATTGCAAGTGCACTGATGCACGTACATTCTTGTGGACTGATTCATCGTGATTTGAAGCCAGCAAATATTTTCGTTGCTGACGTAGAGAGAGACGAGATTAAGTTGGGGGATTTTGGCTTATCGCGCTACGCTGCGAATGCAAGCAGCCTGAATGCCTCGACAAGTCTTGATGATCCCCAACAAGGATGTCTTTCCAATGGTGTGGGGGACACTCCTCTATCTATGTCGGTATGGTCGAACATGTCGGAGAGTACTGAGGTGACTGCGGGTGTTGGCACGTATCTCTATGCAAGCCCAGAACAAGTAGCGGGGAAAAAGTACAACGCGAAGACGGACATTTACTCATTGGGGATGATTCTCTTTGAGCTGTGTCACGACCGCTTTGGCACGACAATGGAGCGATACATCACTCTCCGTGATGCCCGAGACAGTAAGTTCCTTGCTTGTAACGGGGCACCCTGAAGCTTGTACTGTCACCAGTACAAGCTACTTATTCTGATGACAGAATAAGGCGGTGCCTCGTAACTTCACGTATACTGTTACGTGCAGAGAAAGACGGTAAGAAGAAGCGAGTACTTGGTTAAAGTAAAAAGTAGAACTGTATTTATCATAGTTAATGTCCGCAATAAACCACTGTTTATCTTCATCTAACTATGTCTAAATACAAATGTGTAAATCAATTATCTGCTCACCACTCATTGCGTGCGTCTGTCGTGGCGCGTCTTCGTTGGTTGATGTAATGGCCTATATCAACCAATTAGGAACTACTCGTAGGCGCTATAGAATATTTGTCCTTATGACAATATTCTGAGAATATAACTCTTATAATTATGTTCTATTACCAATTTCTTATAAATTGTTATGTTACGATTCACCCCGTTAAATCACCCCCCCACTTAACCATCAGTCACTTTAGTGACTGTTTGCCTACATGGATACTCGTCCCAAATCATTTCGGACAGGGTTTGCACTTGTTGGTCCGAGTCCACTTTCCAACATCTCATCGCATGGTTAACAAGTCCATGCGGTGTGCGAAAAACGCCGCTGAGAGCGATTCTGCACGTCTCTGTGCAGACGCCGAAGCAGAAACCACAGCAACTGGTGTCTCATCGGTTGCTGATGCAACTCAGCCTGTGTCACCTGGTGATGCAGGCGCTGGTCATGAAGACACTCATGTCTTCACAGAGTATGAGCTCGGAGTCTCATACTCTCCTGATACGGAAGACGGATCTGTATCGAAGGCGGTTGAAACCAATCCGCCTGCCAAGCGCGGCACAATTGATACACGCGTCGTAGCATCTTTGATACGTCTGATGAATCAGATGAACCATCGCCAAAGCGTAGGCGCTCGAGGTCGCGAGACTCGGGCGCTAACAGTGGTGTCGGCTCTCCTGTTGACACCACTTCGCAACGAGGTGACAGTCCTTCTGTCGGCACGTCGCAGGTAGTGCGGGACCGCAGCGTGTTGCGTCTCGCTCCTGAGAAGAAAGCATGGATGCCTCCAAAATCTGTCATGGATCACTTGTCGGCAACACGGTTGTTCGATTCGTCAAGGATCCATCACCTTGACCCCAGTGCGAAAAACTATCTTACTGAGAATGATTTCTGCATCGATGCTTTCTTTAAACATCGATGGTACAGTGGGAATCACAAACGTGATGGTCCCTCACTGCTTCAATCGTGGAACGCCTACATCCATAACCTTGAGGATGTAGGTCGTGACGTTTGGAACGACAAACTTATCAAAGCTCGTGATAAGTTTGAAAAGCGAACTCCGACAGGTGCACGGTACAAGCTGCATCGTCTGTCAAGGGAGAAAGGATTACCCTGTCTCTCATGGGGAGCCCCGTGCCCTTGTTGTGTAAACAACTCAGCGCGCGCACCTAAGGAGGCTTACCTCCTTACTAGCCCGTGGTGGCGCGTACGTATCTCGATTGAGATGTACGAAGGGATTGACAACCTGAAATCCCTTTATGACCGTGCCGGGAAGACTTTCTCTGGCGGTCCTTCTGCGGCACAGGATGTGCCGCGTCGTACTGCTCAACCAGACCCAGTACGTCGGCCGTCAGTTGGGAGCGGGGCTCCCAAGTATCCCAGGACGGGGGATAGCCGCGCCACCGGACGAGATAACTCGTCCGACGTCCGTTCACGTCGCTTTGGTTTAACAGCTGCTCAACTAGATAGCGGTGGCCACCACGAGAGTCCCCTAATGAAGGTGGAGGAGGAGGAAAGACGCTCTCCACACGATCGTGGGGATCCGTGTGTTCCCGAGAGCTTCTTTGATCGCGTAACGCAAAGGTTACGCGGTGATCTCGAACATGAGCGGGATAGGCGTCTCCAAATGGCGGACACTGTCTGTAAGCATCGAGCTGAGTTTGCCTTTGCTCAGCTTGAGAACGAGAGAACTCTGACGTCTCTGCGTGACGAGCTAAGGGTAGCTCGTGGGAATGTTGATCGGTCTCGGGATGAGATAACTGCTCTTCAGACCCTTGTCGATGCCCACCATCGGGAGCACAAGGCTCTCTGCGAGATTCTTGAGCGCAAGGGCGTTCTTCATCGGAAGAAGCAGCGTACTGATGGTACGGCTTAAGCCGACCAACGTAAAACGTGGGAAGCGTTCGCATCTTACGTGGCAACTCGATCGTGTATGCATTGCCTAAACGGTGCAATGCACGAAATGGGCCAATGTACTTGGGTAGAAGATTACTACTACCCAAGTTAGTCACTACATGCTTTGGTAGGTTACCGTAGACAGTAGGACTAAGTCACCTTTACTAAATAAAAGAGTGTTTGCCCTTCCATTCTTGTCAGCGTTTTGCTTTTGCTTATCCACCGATTCGGCGATGGAGTCTTGCACAAAACGGACTACCGTTTCACGAGCCAGTATGAACTCATCTGATGACTCGTTAGCTTCAGTGCGCTGTGAGAGCACTGCAGCGACATCAACCTTTTCTTCAGTGAGGGCTTCCGCACTCTCACTGGCATCATCTTCTTCGATATCGATGTTATCGATATCGGCATCAAACGCAATGACCTTTTCGTCAGAGCGTGATGAGCGTGAACCAAATCGGGTTTTGCTCGCGCGAGTCCCTCCCCCCCTTAAACCAGAGTTACACTCTAGTAAGGTGGGTACACGCGGATGGCGCAAGCCATAACGTAAAACGGTGTATGTGTCGTGGACGCATGCACCGAGTTGTTAATGGCAAACCCTACCATTGGCAAGAACTCACTCCAACTCTTAAAGGAGTGTACGTATCCTCGAAGTATCTCTTCAAGGACACGATTGGCACGTTCCGTCTGACCATCTGACTCTGGATGATCAGATGTTGACATCTTCAAGCGCGTTCCGAGTGATTTGAACACGGAACGCCATAAATCAGCAGTGAATCGTGGATCTCTGTTTGATACGAGTTCACGGAGCAACCCATGAAGTCGGAAGATGGTGTCGATAAAGACACAAGCACAGCCACTTGCCGTTGTTGTATCGGGTACAGCCACAAGCTGTACCATTTTGCTGAAACTGTCAACGACTACGAGAATACCCGTATTCCCGCGTGCGTCTTTGGGTAACCCGAAGACGAAATCCATTGAGATGGATTCCCAGCACTCAGCCGGAACCGGTAGAGGCTTTAAAGGTGCACGCAGTGAAGGACTTGACTTCACTCGTTGACAGACTTAGCATGCGCGAACAAACTTTCGCACAAACTGATACTGGCGGGGCCGGTAAAAGTCTCGACTCACCGTGAGATACGTTTTCTCACGGCCACGATTTCCTCTTTTAGGAGCATCGTGATACTCGAACATGATCCGCAAACGCAGATCAGTATCATCTGGAATGACAAAACGTGGTGTGTCACCAGAAACGGCTGTATAATACAGTAACCTGTTGCGAGTAGTGTATCGATCTGATGCAGATCGATACGCAGACGACAATCGTTTCAACGGTTCTCTAGATTGCTGTGAGAGATGTGTCAAAAACTTCACAATCTCACCATCTTTGCAATACGCCCGCCTCACATCTTCATGTAACGTTGAAGATGGTATTGAGGAAGGCACAACCGCAACAGTGGCTGTCCCACTGTTGGGTTTCACGACTGATTCAAAGTCGTGACGACGTGAGAGCGCATCACCGACGACATTAAGTCGTCCTGGTTTGTACTCGACCGTAAAGTTGTATTCCGCAAAGAATGACAACCACCGAGCCATTCGTTGTGAAAGGTGCGGGCTGTTCACTGCCGTGCGTAATGACGCATGGTCGGTGTAAACAATGAAGGGTCTATCTCCTAATAGATAGAATCTGAAATTTGCGAGTGCATACTTCACGGCAAGGAGTTCCTTGTCATGCCCTGGATAGTTCCGCTCAGCTGGTTGCAGCTGACGCGACTGATAGCAGACGACGCGTTCAACGCCTTCGAGATCGTACTGCATTAATGCGCAGCCGATTGCGAAATCGCTGGCATCACAGACCACATGAAATGGCCTGTCCTGATCAGCTATTGCTAGGACTGGGGATCGTATTAAGCTCTGCTTGATACCATCAAAGGAGCGCTGACATTCAGCGTTCCATAACCACCTCTCGTTCTTTTTCAACAAACGAGCGAGGTGTACAGTCATCTCGGCGTAATTGCGTGAATACTTATGCAAATACGCCGCTAGCCCAAGGAATTTTCGAAGACCTTTGACATCAACCGGCACAGGCCAGTCGGTGATCGCCTTGATCTTTTCGGGATCAGGACGTACACCGTTCTTACCAACGATGCACCTAAGAAGTGGTATTTCGCTTGCGGCAAATATACACTTCTTGAGGTTTGCATACAATTGATGCTTTCGCATGATTGTAAGAACCTGTCGGACGTGGTACCTGTGAACCTCAACGTCCGACTTTCCGTCCATAGCTCGACTATGGATGAATACGTCATCGAAATAACTCGGCGCGAATTCTCGTACTGGTCTCAGCAGATGTGATACACATCTGTTGAACGTGGCAGGGGTATTACTAAGCCCTTGTGGCATTACTAGCCATTCCCAGAGCATGCCACTAGGCGTGCTCACTGCGGTATAGGGTATATTCCGTTCTCGCATAAGGATTTGATAGAAGCCATCCATCAAATCCATGGACGAAAAGACGGTACTCTTTGACATACCATCAATGATTACGTCCTTCCTTAGTATCGGCGTCTGAGCCGGTACCGTTGCAGCATTCAATTTGTTGAACGCGTGCACTATCCGCCACCCTCCTCTTGCTTTTCGCACACAGAAGGTCGGAGAGCTATGTGGGGAAGTTGATTCCCTCACATGGCCCGCAGCTAAACGATCGGCAAAGAACTTGTCGATCGCAAGTACTTGTTCACGAGGCAGTGGCCACTGCTTCATGACACAGTACTTCGAGCCTGGTTTAAGCTCGACCTCGTGTCGAGTACCTTTATCATTCGGTAACTCGCACGAAACAGTTTCAGGGAATACATCCTTGAATTCAACCAAATCTTCATGGAGAGGTTTTGTCTTGAGCGATTGCCACGATTGGGAGTCATGTCGCTCAACTCGTGTCTTTTCATCTAGGACACTCTCGTCCATTGATGAACTACTGAGAACTCTCTCGTTCTCAGTAAACATTGTTGCTGACCTTATGCCGGCTACACACTCGTCGTCAGCGACGAGTACGCAGATCTGCTTGACTTTGCCACTACGCATAAGAACCTTTTTTTATGTTCGAGCGTTGGTAATTGAGTGATCTCCGAAGTCAACTTCGGAGGCGCAATCAGATCAAGTGTATCAGCGCCTACGCTTGATCCGTTATTGACCATGACATTCAAAGTCTCTGTCATTTCCTGGGGACTTGTTCCCTCAGGCCTCGAAGGACTTATTCCTTCGGCTTCCCGGGGACTTATTCCCTCTGGTTTCGGGGAACTTTTTTCCGCCGTATTTATAATATCAGGACTTAATCCCTTAACTTCCTCTAGCTGTGGTTGCACAACCACAGCGAGATCCTCTACGAAAGACTCTCCAGTCGATCCAGGATTATCGTTTCGCTTAACCTGAGCGATCGATGGTTTCACTTCTAGATGTTCCCCGCTAGGGATACATCTTTGTCCCGGTCCACTCGACTTATTCGAGTGGTGGACCTTCGGCGCAGCCTGTGTTTCCTCACAGCCGCCGGAACTTTGCTCCGAAGTGTAACCGTTTGTTACACTAAGGTTTTGTGCAGTCGTAATAACGACCGTACCACAAGTGAGGCCTTCGCACTCACTCGTAGTACATCCACACGCTTTGTGGACGCTCCAAAACGTTCATCAGATGACCATCTGATGAACAAGCGGCAGGCATCGTTACTGTTCGATGTTGCCAGTTTACCCGTGGTTCGTACCTTCTGAGCCACGGTATTCCAAGGATGACATCAAATTTTTCATCCAAATCCAATACGATAAAGTCATCGTCATATTGGGTATCTTCTAGCGTATAGTGGATCTTCACTATACGCTTCATGACGGTTACGGATGCGCCTGTCGCAAGACGTACCGTCATCCTCGTAGGAGGTGTGTCACATTCAACAAACTTGAAGTGACCATCTTCTAGGGATTGGCGTTGCACAAAATTATTGGACGCCCCACAATCGACTAGAGCTCGAAGGGACCACTTATTTGTCACTTCGAGTTTCAAGGTAATGAGTGAGATCTCATTACCTAGAGCAGCAACGCACAACGTTTGTGTGTTGGGAGCAACCTTCATCAAGAGGCCTACAAATTCTCTTGACGTTGCTGGACCAGTAGGGTGCTCCGCACCTACTGATCCTGTCCGTTTTTTGACGGTCCATCTCGTTGTTGCGTCTTTGCACCAACAGCGGACCCGCGTCCCAGCCCCTTTCTCATGGGTGGACGTTCACTACGCCCATTGTCGCGAGACACTGGACGAGGAGCACTACACTCGTAAGCGTAGTGTCCTGTCTTCTGACATCTGTTGCATTTCTGCAACTTCTTGTAGTCTGTAGAGCGAGCCTTCTCGCTCTCTACATAACAGAGTTTCATCGGCTCTGGACCTCCGTTGTCATATCGTCTCGGTTGACGATACGATGTCGAGCTGGCGCGAGCCTGTCTCAGACTGAAGTCTTCCTGTTCCGCAATGAAAATGGCTTGTTCTAGTGAATCTAGTTCAAGTCGGAACAGGTGAGTCTTGACGGGATCATCCGCAAGACCCTGCATGAACACCGAAACCAACGTGTGTTCATCAACCAAGTTGGAACTTGTACAACTCGTGAGATGTCGTATATGTTGTGCGTAAGCGTGCACATCACGCTTACCCTGCTTGATCTCCAAGAGTTCAGTTCGAGCTCTGAACTCAGCTCTAGGCGGTTCAAACGTTTGTCTGAGCCGCGACTTGAAGACTTCCAACGACCCAAACCCATATGGGTCGTGAAACTTGAGCCCCAGTGCCCAAGTCTTGGCACGTTCTCCCAGATTTGATTGGGCAAATGCAACTTGCATATCCCCATCTTCGATGCGACGCGCCCTTGTGGCGTCGTCTAATTCGACGAACCATCTCAAGAGGGAGTCCTCTTCGACCCCCCTACACTTGGAGATGTCAATCTTCAAAGTCTCGGGTCGACGCGAGTGAATCGACCCACCAGCAGCAGCCTGCTGCTGTCTCAATAGTTCAAACTGTTGAGCAGCCTGTTCTCTCAACAACTCTGCTTGTTGAGAGCCTTGTTGGTGAAGCAAGGCTACTTTCTCGCGTTCAGCGTCAAGTTCATTTTGAATGAACTTGGCGATAGTAGCATGTTGGGCATCTCTATTGAGAGCCTCTAGCATGACGCTAACAGCATGGATGCCCATGGTTTAACCCATCCGTTCAACCGCATCCCATTCGACATCGCTCAAATGGGAGTAGCCGTCACGCGTAGCGTAAAAGCTTTGGCCATCTTCATCATCCAACATATTCATGTTAGATGTGAACGTGGTCCTTGGACGGACTACGAAGTGCTACCAGGTGTAACGGGGCACCCTGAAGCTTGTACTGGTGACAGTACAAGCTACTTATTCTGATGACAGAATAAGGCGGTGCCTCGTAACTTCACGTACACTGTTACGTGCAGAGGAAGACGGTAAGAAGAAGCGAGTACTTGGTTAAAGTAAAAAGTAGAACTGTATTTAGTATAGTTAATGTCTATTAAAAACACTGTTACTCTTCATCTAACTATGTCTGAATACAAATGTGCATATCAACTATCTGCTCACCACTCATTGCGTGCGTCTGTCGTGGCGCGTCTTCGTTGGTTGATGTAATGGCCTATATCAACCAATTAGGAACTACTCGTAGGCGCTACAGAATATTTGTCCTTATGACAATATTCTGAGAATATAACTCTTATAGTTATACTCTATTAGCAATTTCTTATAAATTGTTATGTAACGATTCATCCCGCTACACTGCTGATCTCCGCGCGACAAAGAGATGTCCTGAAATCCTAGACATGCTCAGCAAGTTGTTAAGTCACGACCCGAGTGCGCGACCTACAGCCGATGCAGTCGTTCAGTGGGGGCAAATGATGTACGAAACGAGCCTTGCTCAGAAAGCTATGGATGTTGTGCGCTCGCGCGCAACTTAGGCTTGATTCGAGCCGCAACTGGTGCAAACTTTTCGTGCCCGGTATTGATCACATCATGGCTGGCATCGGCAATACGGTTCTTACGACCACGTTTTCGCTAAAGGTGGAGGCTGCAATGGAACACTGCAGTGGTGAGACTGGCGGCGAGCGACGTTGGCCGAACCACAATTTACCGGAGAAAAGTGCGACGTGATTGCCGGAGTGACAAACCCGGCCCGTGGCTTGCAGAGGGGCTCGAGTCTAATGTAGTGAAATGGAGAAAGAATATATTGAGGAGGAGTGTTAAAAATTTTGATATATCAAAATGACAAACCCGGCCCGTGGCTTGCAGAGGGGCTCGAGTCTAATGTAGTGAAATGGAGAAAGAATATATTGAGGAGGAGTGTTAAACTTGGTAGGCTAGTCTGGTGTCATCATATCCAGTCTGGCGCAATCTTCTTTCGTCTGGCGCAATCTTCTTTCGTCTGGCGCAATCCAAGGATGGTCTCGCAGGTCATATCGATAGACAACCCATGTCAGGAGTTCACGATGGGAAGGTTGAGATCAAGAAGTGTGGATTGCACATGGAGAATGAGGGCGTGACGATTCTAGCATTTGAGTTGGACCCACAGAGTGCTCTTGCCGTTGCGCCTGGCAGTGACGTGGAAGGCTCCGTGGTTTTGGCGATCGAAGCCCTCGCTGGAGTGCAAACGGTGCATCGTGTGAGCAAGATTGATTGAAACTTGGTGCCAGTGTCAAGAAAGAATACAAACTAAGAGGTTCGGTTTCAATTCGAGTACAATGAAGACCCGTCGTGCTTGAAGCGGGCATGAACCACGTTCGCCTTGTCGATCAAGTAAAGCAACGAGGACATGGGTACCAGCTGGTCAAGTAATGGTATGTCTTGCAGGGTTGTTGGGTTATACTTGTCGCAGGAAGATGAGCAAGCACGACACGAACATAGCTCTGTATGTGTTCAGAGCATCAAATCAAGTGTCAATCTAGCTTGCCTGCTGTCAGGTCTCCATGCCATGACAAATGCACTCCATCGCACAACGTCGTGCACTGGAAAACAGTGCCATCAGTTGTCGAGTATCGAAGAGCAGTACGTTCAACGTCGGTGCTGATTCGACCAGTACTCTAAATCCGCCCGTTGGTGGAGGAAGACACGCCTGCATCCGAGTGTAGCAGTAACGAATCCAAACGAGAAGCGGTGTCGGAATTCATCCACTCCTGAAGAAAAGCACAGGTCACGTTCTGGTTCGACCTTGTTTCTTACCTAACGCGTCGTTGACAAGTGTGAGCATCATGGCTTCGAGCCCGAATCAAAGGGTTAATGTGGTTGTATTTCACCTTATCTGACTTGTCTTGGTAGATCAAGGCCAGCAAAGTGATTCTAGGCTTGTCGCAAGCTCACCAACACCTCTACCACCTTGCTCCATCCAGTACCCGATTGCTGTCGCTAACCCTTCCTTCATCAAAGCCGATCCGAAAGCGCACTGTCTTGCTCCACCTAACGTTGAATGGAAGGTCCCGCGGTCTTTTGGCGTTTCGGGTCCTCCTTTGGTAACGCTAGTGCAGCCTCGTAAGTCGAAAAAGTGCCTTCCTTCCTCTTTGAATTGTTCGCGCTCGGGTTGCTGGACGACTTTGACTCTACCAGAGCCTTGTTAACAACTTTAGTCGGGTCTTCTTTCAGCGCCGTGTCCAGCGCAGTCGCAATGTTAGTCCATCGAACCTTGCGGTCGTTCTTTTTTTGCACTTGTGCAACCTCGCGTGCTTTACTTGGCAGACGCTGAATCATGGATTCACTTATTTGCGCAGCGCGCATGCGTTCAATCATTGTAGCGGAGGTCACGCCTTTGAGATAGCCACGGATTACGAAATACATCAGCATTTCGTCCGCGATGGTAGACTCCTCCCCCATGGGCACTATCGCCCGTAGATAATCAAAGTTGCCTTTGCTCTTAAGCTTTTTGAGTATGTGCAAATATACATTACGTACTTGGCCATGACCGCTATGGATAACAAATTTGTATCGTTCAAGCAGTCGCAACTGGTCCGTCATGTCCTTTTCTGCCGTCAGGTTGGAGAGCTCCAGAAGGTCGGAAGAACGGTCGAACGTGATGCCGCGGTTCTTCCAGGATTCTAACATCGCTGCCTCCAAAGCAGTGAATATCTCCCCGTCGATCAGAGCAGCCACCTTAGCTTTTAGCAAAGCAGACGCGAGTTTGGTTAAGCCATCAGTATTGGCACCAAACATACCTACCAGCTCGTGCATCAGCTGTTCTGCTGTCCAATCCTGTGTTTTCTCCTCCTTCAGGGAGTTCCACTGGTCTGCACTCAAAAGGTTCTTATCCGTTTGCTGTTGCAGTTGCTCGATGATACTTGTACGTTTGTCTTTAGGTTGAAGAGCTGTAGCAAGCGCATGCTCGATGGCCCTATTCCTTTTTGCCTCCGATTGAGTTGCCTTAGCAATCGCTTCCTCATTGATCCTCGTACTGTCTGCTTCCAATCGAGAAGCCACACCAGGCGAATGCTCGTTGACCCTCGTACTGTCTGCTTCCGATTGAGAAGCCACGACAGGTGCCGCGAGCGAAGGCAGATCAAACACCGGTGTCGCCACGGTTCCGCTCGACTCGAGACGTTCTGGTGCATAATGTGCGTGTCTGAGTTGATCCCAATCTTCAGCAGCAAGCATGGGGACACTTTGGTCGTGTATCACTCCTTGCGCCCGTTCAACTACCGCATAGAGTTCGGGAAATTCCAAAGCCCATGTCCTGTCTTCGCCATTTGCTATGTCGTTGCTTGGCAACATGTGGTTGTCGCTGGCGTCGCCCACCCGGTCTTTGGGACGGTCACTGGAATGAAGATCCGGCCGCAGCGTCTTCGAACCTGAGGCAGAGTATCTTGAGAGACTTTCGATGAACGCGACCGCAGCGAGGAGCTCTGTGGTGTAGATGCGCATGTTGAAACGGGGTCGGGTGGTTGCTTGTGAGGGTGGCGGGCGAGTTTCGTAGTGACCGGTCGTGCCAGTAGTAGAGACTTTGGTCAGAAGCTGATCCCTTTTCTGAGCCACGATCATCCCACTCTTTGATCTGCGTCTCTTTTACCTGCGGCTTCCTCTTTACTTTACTTCAGTAGTGACTCAAGCCGGTTTGTTTCATAGTGGCGGTGACCAGCATGGGTGACTTGCAGCTGAGTCTAATCACGCGTGACAAGGGCCGGCAGAAAGTGCATTGTTGTGGGCTTTTGATCGAGCAAGTCTCGCTTTCTTTATAAAACGCATCTTCTCCCTTGGCGTTGGAACCGCTGGAGTGGACAAAGCTGTTGTCAAAGCATCAGCGATAGCACTGTTCGTCTCAGAGCTGGCCCCGTAAGTGCGCATGAAGTCAGTGACGACACTAATTACTACTTCACAGCGTAACACTTCCCAACTTGCGCCTTCGGGCAACAATGCCAAGCGACAAATACCTCTAAAGAACCAGGCGATCAGGTCCCTAACTCTGGGTGGGAAGTCCCGTATCGTGGGGATTCGTATGAAAACATGGATATTCGTCCAAGAAACTGACAGTTAGACTATCCATTAGCCTTAGTTAATATATGCCTGCAAGGGTAAAGCCACTTTAGAAGAGACGTCACTCGAAACGTTTCTTAGATTAGTAGGACCCATCGCTTTTCAAACGGGCCGCGGTCTTCAGTTGCGAGACGACGGCTCCTGCCCAGCGGCGCGGGTGGGAGCCAACCCGCGACGGCGAAATCTGTAGCGGTGGCAGCTGAAGCGGTGGAAGTTGCAGTGGAGATAATGAATGCTTAAATGTAGTCAGATGAGCCGCTGTAATCCATTTCTCTTACCCATTGACGACCGATGGTGGATGTTTCTACGGCACAAAAGAAGATCGAGTCATTCATGTCCGTCTATTGATCAATCATTTACTGAATGATACGACGCGATACTGTGTCGATTGAATGACGTGCCGTAATAAATCACCGGATGAGCCGCAAACTCAGTGAGTCAGTTACATGCTTGGTCGCCAAATTAGTCCTTCATCCATGTCAAAAGCGCAAATCAGGTTCTTCATCCACATAACCGCCCGCGCGATCCTTGTCCAGTCTGAAGCATATGCCGACGAGAGGATGCAAAAAACAAGGACAGACACCTTTGGAACTCGAACACCTAGACCTTGTTTACCTTCTACACAAAAGGAGTGCGCACAAGATGCGTTCACACACGCTTGAACTGCCGCGATCAAGAGATCGTATCACGGGGGTTGCCTGCGAGGACGGGGAGGTAAGGGCATAGAGTGGCCTGAGCAAGCTACCCAAAAATTAGGGACGCAGTCCATTTGGAAAGCAGAGGGTCCTGCCTATCTTAGAATCGTTTCTATTGAAGTTCATTCTAAAGTGGCCTTATTCTTACCCATGTTGGCAAGTATTAAATAAGGCTAATGGATAGTCTAACCGTACCACAGATTGTTCAGGCGACCACCATGTTGTATGTGATTTCCCCTATCTGGGGCCCCGATAAAAGGGGGAAGGCCGTCTTGCCGCTGCGTGCGCTACAGAAGGCACCACAGCGAGTAAACCCAAAGGGGACGAGGTGAAGGGTGCGGCAACAGCAATTGTCAATCCCTTCACCTACACCTACTATTTTGCTTCAGCCTTCGAGTTGTTGGCCCGGACGCCGAGCTTGACTCTTGAGTTTAACGAAGCGAACTTGCCGAGAACGTGATCAAGATCGGTCTAGTCCAGGTACGTCCGCGGCCCATCGGGGGTGAAAAATCGGGCTGGTCCCCGGCGTTTCCTGCGACTTCAGCGCCCTGTCTGCACCCCGGACTGGATATCCGATTCCACGTGCCCTCTGCGAAGTGTCCCCCGTGATGACCGAAGGCCAAGCCAAGCAGACTAAGCCAGCAAGGAGAAGATGATGTAGTTTAGGCAGCAGCACACCGATATCGTATAGGCCATGAGCACTTAATCGACATTCAGGATTTACCAAGTAGCGTCATGGATAGATAGGTGGCCATCCGATGCAGAGTGATGCTGCTTCCGATTACATGGTGATAGCAAGATTTGGCTGCGTCGGTTGTCCCCATTCGTACGAGTACATACTTTCTGTGAGCAGAAAGCTTCTCAGGTCGCACGCAAAAAGGTGCAATTGCAAAGCACGAGCTACACATTCAGCATTCGTGCATGTAGGGACAAATGTCCATGACGGGAAACGTTGACTCGTGTTATTGAGTGTGCGCAAGTTCATGACAATGGCAGCATTATGCTCGGTGGGGTGTCATGCTGCAGCAGCTATAGCAGGCGACGTCCTAGATAGAGTGACATTCAATGCAACCGAAAGGTGGATCGTGTTCATCGTCCTGCCTGCTCCAGTACTGTGTCAAGAAGCTACCAAGCACATGGCGTAGCACATCAAGATTTGCGTGTGTGACCTCTCCGCTACTTCTTTCTTCCGGTACAAACAGATGTACCACACATTCCGCCATGAATCACTACAGTAGCTATGGCTCGTCCACCGATGACGATGTGCTGAAGTGAACCAACATGCGATTTGCATGACAGACCAAGGGTTGGTGACGGCTGATGAGCACAAGCAGCTTCCAGAGATTCCCAAAGCTGTAGAAATGAGAGTCATTTCACTCGCATTTTTCACTCGCAAATCATCCTTCGTCTTCGCTCGATCGATGTGCCTGCGTTGTGCAAGAACAGCACGTAGTAGTGCATTAGCAGTAGT